GCTCCCTCTCCCTGGATAACTCCTTCTTGTCCTTCTGATCCCCCTTTGACATCACCTCCTCCAGGAAGCCTACCCTGCCTCTTCAAAGATGGTGCAGTCAGAGCCTGCCCCTCACATAGAACTTACCATACTTCCTCCTAAACATCCATTTCTGTATCTATGACCTTACGAGTATCTTAAAGGCAGGTACCAAAAATGATGTATTTCTTTTTGAACCCCCAGCACCTAGAGGTATGCTAGGCCTATCTGTGAAAATCACTGTTCGTAGCATGAGCATGCCAATGACCTGGCTGAATATGCCATGCTCCTGTCCTCCCTTCAGCAAACATGTATTGGGGTCTGACTCTGTACTACAGGTCGATAGTTTCCTCATTGCACTACTGTCATCATTCAGGTTGCTGGAAAAATCAGCTATTGAGTACCCAACATCTGCATATTAAGTATCTGACTCATGTTAATGTATTTAATCCTCACACCAACTCAGTAAAGTTGGCGCTATAATTATCTGCAATTCAGATAAGGAAACCGAGGTGCCAAAATTGTACAAGCACTGAATGCTAGAGTCTGGATTTAAACCCCTGAGGCCTAACTCCAGAGCCATGGAGTTAACCTCTGTACTACTTGGCTTCCTTCTTCATAACTGCCTAGACACTTGTTACAAATGCAGAGGCATGGGCCCCATCCAAAGAGCTTCTGTTTCTATAGGTCCATGTGGAGCCTGGGAACCTATATACGCCATGAGCCTCATCTAGTGTAGTCCACACCAGCTTCCCTCTAAGAAATGAGGGCTGTGCCCCAGAGCACCAAAGAGTGTGTCTGAGGCTCTACACCGTCTGGCCCTGGTGAGCCTGTCTTGCTGCACCACAAGACACCCTGTGCTTACTTACCCTCGTTCCCTCCACCAGGAATGCTGTCGCTGGCCTCCCTCCCTCCACCCACCCACGTGTGCTTGGGCAGCAAAGGAGTGAGACGAGGGAGTGAATATATTTTCCTCAGATCTCCTTCTGAGAATGAGTTAGCAAATGCCCCAGGGATATCCCCACATGACCTCCTTCAGAGGTCCTGGAGCAGGCAAAGATGCCTCAGGCTTCTCAAATGCCTGTTTAGTCTTTGGTACTACGAGAAATATCCAAAAGGCTCCGTCTATCACCCTTCACACATTCAGAGCACACCGCCCATGGTTCAGTCCTCTAACTGCTAACCGGGGTCATCCTCTGAACCTCCTCACAGCCCTGGTGATTCCAGCAGCAGTTTGCTCTGCTCGAAACCGATCTGACCCAGAGAGCCAGGCTGCAGTGGACCCTGGGGGAGCCCGGGGCCGACACCTGCATTTCCCCAAGTCTAATTGGAGATGAGGTCTAGCTGAGCTGTGTGGTTGGGTGAGCAAAGCAGGCTTCAAAAACAGGGCCTCCCTCCACCCAGGAGTCACTGAATTTTACTGTCACCCGACATCATAGGGGTATCATCTGAGATTTGGCAGGTGGCCCAGAACAGCTCAGCTGTCGGAGCTTGTTGTAAAGTGGGCAGGCTAGCATTCGGGGGATTCCCCAGCAGTGTAGCAAATGGAAGCTCAGCTGAGAGAAGGCACCCCTCTTAAAGCCACATCAAAGATAAGTTGCTGGAAAGTTAGCAAGACTCCCGCTGGTAACGGTCCCTAAGGGCAGCCCGAGAGTGTGGGATGGGTGAAGGAGGGGAGGAAAAGCGGGTTGGGGATTTTCCCCTAATCAATATTACTTGTTTTGACTACTGCTACATAACAAAGTGCCTCAAAATGCAGAGGCTTAAAACAAGCATCACCTGATTAGATCTCACAATTTTGTGACTCAGAAAGTTGAGTAGGGCTTGGCTGGGTAACTCTTTCACGTGGCATCAGTGGGGGTCCCTTGGTGCTGTTGGACTGGTGGATACCTGGGGCTGAACAGAGAAGGCTGGAGAGCTAGGTTCGGCCGAACCATCTACCATTCCTACACGTGGCCTCACCAGCATGGCGGCTTCATACGTCACTCTTCAAAAGTGGTGGTTCAGAGCACCAAGCAAGAATGTTCCAAGAGACCCAGGCGAAAGCTGCAAGGCTTCTTATGAGCCAGAAGTCCCAGAATGTCACTCCAGCCACATTCTATCAGTCAAGCACGTCACCGAGGCCAGCTGAGATGTCAAAAGAGTGGAACTGGACTTCATCTCTCAGTGGGAGGAGCGGTAAAGGATTTGCAGCCATATTTAATCTCCCACGATACAAGAGAGCTAGGAAAAACTTGCTAGGCTCATTTTGGGATTTTTTTACTCCATACATGTTTGTTGAGCTCCTAGTATGTGCCAGCTACTATCTCTCTAGGCACTAGAGAGATAGACCAATGAACAATACAGAGACATGATCCCTGCCCTTATGGAAACTGTAGTCTAAAAGAGTCTAACAAATAATTCCTCGGCGCTTGGCACATGGTATGTGTTCAATCAATGTTGAATACTGGTATTATTATTGTTAAATAATCATTAGGGGCCAGACACATTGGCTCATACCTATAATCCCAGCACTTTGGAGGCTGAGGTGGGAGGATCACTTGAGGCCAGGCATTTGAGACCAGCATGGGCAACATAGTGAGACTTTGTCTCTACTAAAATTAAAAGAAATTATCCTGGCATGGTAGCATCCACCTTTAGTCCCAGCTACTAGGGAGGTTGAGGTGGCATGATTGCTTGAGCCCAGGAAGATGTCAAGGCTACAGTAAGTCATAATTGTATCACTGTACTCCAGCCTGGGTGGTAGAGTGAGGCCCTGTCTCAAATAATAATAATAACAGCCACTGGGGAAAAGATTTGCCATGAACAGATCAACAACAGGGTGCAAAATGATACAATCAATGAAGAGGCTTACATGTTTAGGAGGTTAACATTTAAGCCAAGGATGAGAAGTAACGAACTAGGGAAAGGGGGAAAGTGAGAGAGTTTTCAGGCAGAGGAAACAGTGTGTGCCCCACAGTGCAGTGGGCAAGGGCAGTGGGCATCGAGTTCGGCTGGGCAAGTGGCACAAGGACAGATTACCCAAGGCTCTGCCCACGGATGTTCGTATAGATCCACCTTCCACCTTCTCCACTTGCCTTGTGCTTCTGACGGCTGATGTGTGTGAGCTGCACCCACAGTTCCCTTTCTCCTGGTTGGCGACAGTGGAGACACCAGCAGGAGTTTGGACAGGGGAACTTGGGGGCAGGGGGAGAAAGAGAGTGGAGTATTTGGAGTATTTATTTTTCTGGCTTCCACTCTGCTGGACTGGGATGAAAGTAATCAAGTTCCTCTGCCCAAGGCTGTGTGCCCCGCCAAGCAGCCCTGTCCTAAGGCTGTAGGTCTCACGGGGCTCTCCAATGGCTCATTCTCCTGTGTGCTCAGGCTTAGGATTAGTAGCAGCTTCCCACTATTGTTAGGTCAGGGATACTTCACCATCCCGTCTTGCATTCCCTATACCCTGCCCACACCTTTGTAAATGGTCTCTCTTCCTTGACTTGTCCTCAATTACCTTTTTGAGAGAGCCGCTTGATTCCTACTGGGACCCTGAATGATAGAGCTGTAGCAGCTAGGATAATAATTTGGAACCCTATCCCAGGAGCAATTCTAAGAAAATGATAACCTTCCATTCAGTGATGTGCTGGTAAATATTAACAACCAGGTCTCCAAAGGGAAGAGCTCTGATTTTCAGTATTTATCTTGAGGTGCAAATACTTCCACCTGGACTGACTTCAAGCTATGAATATGATACCAACAAGCTTGCAACATTCCTAAAAATAGAATACAAGCTGGTATGAACCAGCTCCTGCATACTTCTGCCCAGATCCCAAACCAGCTCAACTGTCCTCCACCACTAGAGCCACCCCCGCCCAGAGATGGCCAGGAGTTCCATCGGAGAGGACAGGCCGTCTGGATGCCGCCAGCCTCCTTTCTGCTCCTTTCCACAAGGCCCTATTGTCTCCTGGGGAAAGGATGGCTCATGTTAGGCTTGAGAAGTCAGAATGGCCTAAGCTTGTGTTTTCTTGGAATTTCAAAAATGAACCTCAAGAGAGAATTAGATGTACAAGAGCTCTATTGGGGAAAGCTCCCAAAAGAGTAACAGGAGAAGGAGCAGAAGTAGGCAGGGAGAGCCTTTAGACAGAGATGCAGATCCAACACCTATAAAAGAAGGCAAAAGGATCCAGGAGGTTGAACCTCAGACCACAGCATAGAAAGTTCTGAGAAAGTCTTGGCCAGGCCAATGGGGAGACACCCAGGGCAAAAGTTGCCCTTAGAGGAGTTTTGCTTCAGGCAAGAATGGGAGGGCTCCAAGTTCAGTCATTAGCCAGAAGTAGTGGGGGGTGTTGGGGAGAGTGGCATGTGGCCTCAGTGTTCATAGTGGAAGTAGCTGAGGCCATCATTCCACCATGCATCCTGCAGCAGAGTCTCCTGAAGGAGAGCTGAGTGGGTGTGTCCATGACGGCTGCAGGAACTCACATCCACTGTCATTCTTGCTTCCAGGAGGCCTGCTTCTCCCTGAGGAGTTCAGAAACCATCTATTTCCTCCTGAACCCTAACCACTCACTGAAAATGCCCAAAAGTCCCATAGGTGCCCTGGGCCCAATCCTACTGACTCAACAGCTTCTGTATGTAATGGGCATTACCCAAATTGGCCTCTGGATGAGACCTCCAAAAGTTTATGCCACACCCTTCATGCTCCTTTACCCCACAAAACCCTTCCCTTAGAGGCTTCAGTGATTGACTCTGTCCCAGAGAAGATACTTTCTATGCCAGACTCTCCAAATCCAGCTTTGCCCCTAGTGCTGAACCCCGCTGGGCCTCTGAATTCAAGCCGCCATTCCAATGCGTTATACTCACCTGGATTTTCTCACTCACCATGCCCGGAAGCCCAGGAGGCCAGGGAAAGAAGCCCAGGCCCGGCACCCCCATGACTCATTCTGGCATCAGCTGCCTAACCTCCATTTTCCGTATCTCTAAGTCCCCATATTCCTTTCCCCTGGCAGGACCCCAGGCTCCGGCTTCACCGAGATATGGCTGTATCTGCTGATTTTAAGAGGACCGTCCAAAGGAGTCCTTGGAAGCCACCGTGCTTCACAGAGATTCTCAATAAGGGAGCTGAGCAACATCCCATAAGAGAGAAGGGAATGCAGGGGAATGTTCCACATGAATGTTCACCAAAGGGTGACCGCAGTAGAGGAGGCTTTTAATAATCAAGTTGTTTGGAAGATTCATTCTGTCAGTCAGTCAGCTTCTTTCTCCAGACAGTTCTGTCATCTCCCAACAGATTCATGGACAAAGTGGTCATGGTGGCAGGAACTGAAGTTGTGCATGGGCTCAGCAACATGGACGACACTCACCAAGAGTGACCTGGCTACAACCTCTGCTGAGCACCCAACCAGCCAGCAGCAGAGATCAGCACTGAGTCTCTGACAGGGACAATTCCCCAGAGTGATTGGCCTGCTTATTTAGTGGCAACTTGACTACACTGGACTGTTTCCATCATGGAAGAGGCAGTGTTTTGTTCTTACTGGAATAGACACTTACTGTGAACACAGATTTGCTTTCCTCTTATCCTCCCCCCCAAAAAAAGGATGTGCTTTTTCTAAATGCAATGCTTCTGCAAAAAGCAAAATAATAATAATAATAATACCATCTGTGGACTTGAAGACTACCTTTTCCACCATAATGGTATTCCCACATAACGTTACTTCTGAGTAAGGAACTCACTTCACAGCAAACGAAGTGTCGCAGTGGGCTCATGCCTATGCAATTGACTGGACTAACCATATTCCCCATCATCCTGAAGCAGCAGGCTTGACAGCTCAGTGGAATGGCCTTGTGAAGACTCAATTATGATGGCAGCCAGGTGGCAATACTTTGCAGGACTGGGGAAGCATCCTCCAGGAGGACGTGCATGCTGTAAATCAGCATCAAATATACATACTGTTTCTCCGGTAGCCAGGAGTCACGGATCCAGAAATCAGGGGATAGAAATGGGGGTGACACCACTCACTATTGCCATAGGTGATCCGCTAGCAAAATGTTTGCTTCTGTTCCTGTGACCTGATGCTCAGCTGGTCTAGAAGTCTTAGTTAGAAAGGAAGGAATGCTTCCACCGGAGATTCAACGATTCCATTGAATTACAAGTTAAAACTGCCACCCTGCCACTTTGGTCTCCTCTTACCTCTGAACTAACAGGCAAATAAGGGAGTGTTGTACTGGTTGGGATGATTGATCCTGATTATCAAAGGGAAATTGGGCTGCTACTGCACAACAGAAGACAACGTATATTTGGAATACAAGAGATTCCTTAGGGCACCTATTAGTACTACCATGTCCTATGATTAAAGTCAATGGAGAACTACAACCCAATTCAGGAAGAACTGCTAATGGCCCAGCTTTCAGAAATGAAGATTGGGGTGACCTACCAAGCAAAGAGCCATGGCCAGCTTAGGTGCTTGCTGAGGGCAAAAGGAATATGTCATAGGTAGTGGAAGAAGGTAACTATAAACCAGCTATGACCATGTGACCAGATGCAGAAATGAGGACTATATGTGAGTATTTCTTTCTGTTTTGTTATATGTTTGTACTGATAGATATGCATTAAGCAAATATTTTTTAGTTTTTCCCTCTTTATACTCTTATCATCTAACATAAGATGTATTCACAGTGACTGACTTTACATCCTAGTATTTAAGTTAGAAGGTATCTAGGTAAAGAACGACTATCACTCAAGGACATTGCAGCCTGTTCCAGGGAAAGCATTAGCACATTTTCAGTTGTATCATGTTAGCAGAAAGTATGACTTTCTTATTGTAAAAACATAGCTATAGATGATAGCTATGGATATCCATCCTTCTGGTTCTGTTTCTCTGGTGGAATCTGTACTTACACACGCCTCAATAAAGGTGTATATGCAAACATAAAAACCTCGGCAGAGACACGGGTTATGAGTATTCAGTCCTCAGCCAAGTGGAAGTGAAAAGTAGCCAGGCACCCTTTCCTCTTTTTTGCTAAAAGGGAAAGTAGAATGTGTATGCTTCGTGTTATACAGAAGTAACAGTGAAAAGTTTTTTTTTAAACATCATTGCCACTGAAGCTAGAAACTGGGAACTAAGATTTTCTTTCTGAAGTCAACTAGCAAATTTAAATGTGCACAGGCTGCAATTCGTGGGACTGAGACTGTCTGTAAATAATGTGATTGAGAGTTTAGGTACCTACTTTTCTTTCCAAGCAAAATGAACAACCAAGTGCAATACTCAAAGTTCTGCCTACTGGGAATATTTCTTCTCATCACTGTCCTTCAGGAATGACCCAGCGAGAAGCTGTGCTGCTGCAGCTGAACATCTTGGGTAACGCCTGCATATTCTGCACAACCATCCAGAAGCAGATGTGAGTTTTTCTCTTCCTCATTCAACTAATCACAGAGAATACTCCATGAGGTCATAGGTGCAGGCTGGGACACAGAAGGCAGGGTCCCAGTGCCTCCAAGGCCTACTCAGGCCTGTCTCATATTTACCTTTTCTATCTGATGATGGAATGCTGTTGTGCACACCCCACCTTAGGATTTGGTGGGTCAGACAGCAGTAGAAGGGCTGCTGGTGCTGGCAAAGACTCAGCAAAATTTAGGATGTAATGCCCCCACCTTCCTCGGGATCTTTTCATATGTCCCCATCCTGATTTTGAAGAGCCCATTATTTCCTAATCAATGCCTTCACTCTAACAGAAGACACCCTATGGCCAGGCATTGTGGCTCACACTTATAATCCCAGCACTTTGGGAGGCCAAGGAGGGTGGATCACTTGACCTCAGGAGTTCAAGACCAGCCTAGGCAACATGGTGAAACCATGTTTCTACAAAAATACAAGAAAACTAGCTGGGTGTGGTGGCACACATCTGTCATCCCAGCTACTAGGGAGTACAGGTACTCAGGAGGCTGAGGTGGGAGGATCGCTTGAGCCCAGGAGGTAGAAGCTGCAATGAGCTGTGATCTCACCACTGCACTCCAGCCCAGGTAACAAAGTCAGACCTTGTCTAAAATAAAATAAAATCAGAAGACACCCTGCAAGGTTGTGAATTCTATTTGCATTGTAATCCAGCCACTTGCAGGATAAGACTCAGGATTTCATTTTCAGAAATTCCAGCCCTGCATCTACAGAGACAGGGTTTCTTTAAGGTCAGACCATAGAAGCTTTTGGATAATGTCTGTGGTGCTGAGCTGGCAATTTGAAGCCCTGAGCTCATCCTTTTCTTTCCCGACTCTCTCTAACATAGTGAGGAACAACCATACAATCTCACTATACACCCTATTTTGACTAAAATGCCCCAAAGGCATCAAATACATGATCACTAGAACCTTACCTTTAATAAGTATTTGATCAGGAACATCCAGTGGCAGTATTTTGCCACCTCATTCTATGTCCTTTTTAACAACGGAAATAGAGTCCTTACTGGCCTTCAATTGAATCGTATGAGAGAATCAATTCAGATAATTCATCCTTAAGCTTTTGTTCTTTTAGAATCACTTCCATTACCCAATCCATACGAGTCAGGCTTTCACTGGAGAAACAGAACCAGTCGGATATCCAGTAGGATACAGGAGTTAGGTAGGAAGACAGATGATTGATAGATGATAGATACATAGGTGACTGATAGATGGATGGATGGATGGATGGATGGAGAAAGAGAGAGAGAGATAATAGATAGATAGAGGATAATAAATACTAGATAGAGATGTATTGCAAGAAATTGCCTTATGCAGCTCTAAGGACTGATTAGGCAAATCCAAACTCTGCAGGGCGGCCTTCGGGAAGAGCAGGCTGGAGCTCTCAGGTAAGAACTAACTGCAATCCACAGGCAGAATTTCTTCTTCAGGAAAACCAGTTCTGTATTCGTACCTTTCAACTGTTTGTGTCAGGCCACCCAGAGTATTAGGAATAATCTCCTTTACATAAAATAAACTAATTGAAGATGCTAATCACATCTACAACACCTAGAGTCACGTTTGATTAAATAGCTGTGGAATATAGCCCAGCCTAGATGGCACATAAAACTGGCCATCACAAGGTATAATTAAAGTACAATAAGCTGCGCATATTTAAAGTGTACCTTCTGATTCATTTAAACACATGTGGAAACCCACGAAATTATCACCAAAATCAAGATACCAAATTTTTCATCACCCCCAACAGTTTCTTTGCTCCCCTTTGTAATCCATCTTTCCCTCATCTCAACCCCCCGGCAACCAGTGATCTTTTCAATCACTATAAATTAGCTGGCATTTTCTAGAACTTTACATAAATGGAATCAAGTCAGGTGCAACGGCATATGCCTATAGTCCCAGCTACTTCAGTAGCTAAAGCAGGAGGCTCTCTTGGGCTCAAGAATTTGAATCTAGCCTGGAAAACATAGTGGGACTCACCTCTAAAAATTAAAAACGTTAAACAATGGAATCAAACATTATGTACTCTTTCTTGCTTCTTGCTTTCAGCATCATTATTTGGAGGTCCATCCATGTTGAAGGGGATGACTAATCTGTTTCTTTTTCATGCTGACAGTATTTCACTGTATGGCTATTTCACAGTTGATTTATCCCTTCACCTACTGATGGATACATGCGCTGCTTTAAGTTTTGCTTTATTACAAGTAAAGCTGCTATGGTCTTTTGTGAATAAATTTTTGGACGGACATTGCTTTTGGTTTTCTCTAGTAAATACCTAGAAGCGATGACTCATAGGTAAACAAACATGTGGGTGTTTGTTTAACGTTTAAAGAAACTGCCAGCCAAGTGCAGGGGCTCCACGCCTGTAACCCCATCACTTTGGGAAACCAAGGTGGGCAGATCACTTGAGCTCAGGAGTTGGAGACGAGCCTGGGCAAGATGGCGAAACCCCATCTCTACAAGAAAAAAAAAATCGCCAAGATTTAAGCTATTCTACCTGTGGCTTTAAGTACATAAAGTATATTCTTAGAGTCTCTGTTTCTAGAACTATTTTCAAATTTCCTCTTAAAACTTCATGTTACCAATTTCAACTTGCCATCTTAATAACGAATGCAATCAATTGCTAAGTTATAATCTTAAGATCGTCAAAATTCCTTTAAGGAAAGAGCAATTTGAAGCAGTATTGCACTTCTCCATACCTAATGCTTTAGTACTGTTTACTAACAGGTCAGGTAAACAAGGAAAAGCTGCAGTCTGGTAAAGACCACATAATTCAATCACCCAATCTAAGTACTATCAGCCAAAAAGCTGAGATTGGAGCCCTGATTCTGGCATTTAAAACTTTTTCTGCTCAGCCTATAAATACAGTAAGTGACTCAGCATACTCAGTTTATTTGTTACAAAATCTTAAAACAGCTCTAATTAAGTTTCATCTTGAGCCTGCAGCTCACTGCGTTGGCTTATGGCAATGAGCAAGCCACTTACAAGTGATACCATCACTGCTTGACCAAGACAGACAGAAACAGAAAAAATTAAAAAGAGATAGTATAATAAGAAAAACAGAAAAGCCGAGAGGAAGAAAAAAAGAGGTAAGGAAGGTTGTAAAACTAAGTCAGAAAAGAGTTAAGCCTAAAGTCGTGAAAAATGTTATAGAAGGGAATTTATGCAAGTAAGTTGTATAAATTTTGTTTTGAAGGTCTAAACAAGTTTTAAAATGTTAATTGTAAAAGAAATTCTGTGTGTAAACATATTGGTTAAAAGTTAAAAAGTATCTAGTTTTTCTGTGAACTAAACATTAAAATAAAGCACAACAGGTTTTTCTTAAAGCACTAACCTTCTCTTTATTACAAAGATTATTATAAGTCTCTTAGCACAGGCATAACCACTAGAATTTCCAGTGCACCACCACCAGCAAAGAGACTGCATCCTCATCAAAGGATGGAAAAGAAGAAAAAATCTCAAGCCAGCCTAAGAAAGACCCTGCAGGATGATGCAGCTTCCTCAGACCACATAAGCCCTGGCCATCACCTGGAGAATGCTGAAGAAGACAACACAGAAGGCTAAGCAAATCCTGCTTAGGAATTGTTTCTTTTTTATTCTTTCACTTTACCTGCAACCTGTACCTTCTATACTCTATCAAGCCCATCTTCTAAGATACTTTTTTCTGCCCTGTAAATTAAACTAACACCCCTTCACAGCTTCTAACTGCCCAACTGCTTAATTAAAGAGAAATTAACATACCCCCAGGGAAGTTCCTCATTAATGGCATACAGTAAACTAAGAGGCCAAGTAGCACTAAAAGTCAAACAAAAATTCCTAGTTACACTTACAGCCTACATAGTCTCAGCCACAGTCATCCTGGCAACTGCCAGCATTGCAGTGCCATCTCTTGCTAAGTCAATACAAACAGCTGCTTTTGTAAATAATCTGGCCAAAAATGACGGAAAGGTGTACAAAATCATCTCTCCTGGTTAAACTCCCATTCCTCAGAGTTGCTCTTTGATTGGAAAGAAACTGTTGCTAATTGTACTCATAATCGTCTTACGTTATTTGTTAATCCTAGGATGCAAAGCTGGAATAAAAGCAAGGACCACCTCGTCTAACAGAGCCATGGCTGAACCCATCAGTGGCCGACAGACAAAAAAGCCTAATGTTAATAACAAAAGAAGGGGGAGATTTTGGAATTAACTTGGAGTGGCTGGCAAAACATTAGAGAAATATTAGGAAAACCTTTTGGAAGGCCAAAAGTTTTTATTGGGGCAGGCTGAGGGCAACTGGCTCATTTACATTAGCATAGGAAAGAGACAGACAGTAAGAGGCTTTCCCAGTTTAAGCCTGTTTATCCCACATCCCTTTGTCTCTACTCTGTTTATTCATGTAAATTTTGTGTTGGATGGTCCTCTCAGGGAGAGATCAAAGGAGAATTACCTGTTAATAGTGTTTACTCTGAGCCCAGAACCTAAAGCTTTTATCATTGGTAAAACCACTCTTTTAACCATGTTAATTATCCACAAGTGTTTTAACTTAGAACCTCTTGTAAAATCCTTGCCAAATAAATGTGTGGATGGAGAGGGGATCCTGGTCGATTGGCTGCAGTCACCTTCTGAAAGTAGCGAACAACCATCCCTAGCCCACTTGAATCACTGTAATGGTGTGAGACTGCATTCATTCAACCGCCATTGAGTCAGGGTCTGCAGGCCAGGCCTCCACAGGTGGTGTAAACGCCTCAGTGGGGAATCTGGTCATTGATCTTTCTGGCTGCTTCAGGCTGAGGAGAGGCTTCATGGGTAGCGCCATACCATGAGTGACCCTGTGGCCATCCAGGAATCAAAGGTTAATCTAATATAGAGTTTCCATCTGAAGCACAATCTTTCTCTCTCCAGATCCTCAGTTCCACAAAAGACAAATCATAGCAGGACCAATTTACCAGCAAAATAAGCGTCAGTCCCTTCTAATTGGCCTGATTACCCACATAAAGTGCAACAGAGAGTCATGGTCCACATAGGCTCTCCTAAATTGGCTTTGCTGGAACCTCTCACAAGGCCATTTCAGTCAAAGTCCTGAGAAAATAACCAATTCCTCTAACTGTGTCCCATTATAAGAGAAAACAGCTTCTTATTGAACTTATGCAAATAAACACATTGCCAGGAATCAGGAATATTCACAAATAATTTACAAATTCTGGAGAAATTAGGCAGAGAGAAAAATATGCTTCAAATTCTGTTTACAAAACTATACTCTGCTCAATGTACTTAAAGCATATTTAAAGGCTATAAATGACTCAAAAGAAAAAAAATTCTCCAGACTCTGAAAAACAAACAAAAAATAATCAGCAATATTTCAAGCAAAAAAAGCCATAAAAATTATTTTAGTCCTCCATTAGTTTGATCCATGCAGTCAAATCCTGCTCTGCTTCACAATGGGCTAGCAATCTTTAGGAACACATTAGCCTTTCAATTAGTGTCCTACAAATTTTCTCTCTAATCCAGTGGCACAATTTCCAGAGTTATAAGAAATTTGCATTCAAGAGTTCTTTTCATGAACCCTTTCAAAGAATCAACCCTAGACTGTAGCTGATTATATGTCACTTTTTGAGAAGCATCAAAACAAAATAACAATTATGGATGACAAAAATCTTAGGACAGCCATAGTCAAAGACACAGTTGACAAGCCAATTTGGTTATTTCTGTGGCATACAGCAATTTAACATAATAATCATAATTATTACTGACAACATATATTAAGACACATCAGAATTTCAGGAATATCATATAATCCTGGAACACACATTAACAACATATCTAACTATAACCCAAAGAAAGTTAAATACCACTTCACATTTGACAATGCTTGCTGTATAATTCTAGCATAAAAAATTAGCCTAATAAGCCTAACAGATCTCTCTTGGACTTCAGAGAATTTAATATCCAAAAAAGTTAGTTTGAGATCAAAAAGACTGATTTTAGAACTTGAAATTTTGCTATTGGAAAGTCTATCAAATATCAAAGGCTTACAACCTTTAATATCACAAAATAGGATTACAAATTACTATAATATAGTCATTTACTTAGCCAAAATTATAATATGAAATGTTTACCCTTTTATAAAGAGAAGTCAGCTTCCTAAACAATAAGACCTAATAAAGACAGCATAAGGCCAAATAAACCTGTCTCCCTTCCTCTTTTTTTTTTCTTCTGTGGTTTTACTCAAAAGGTAAACAAAAATCTCTTATTATCTCTTATATGAAAATTTCATTCAAAAGAGAAAACCATATATTACCTTCATATGGTGTATTACTAATGTTAAAGCAAATTTTAATAAAACCTTAGAAACAAATCTAATTTTAATCAGTTTGACCATAAGGTAAGATTTCTATAAACTTTTTATAACCTTTTATAATTTTCTATTAGAAAGCAGATTAATGCTCCTAGAAAACCCTGTTATTTTGACACACTGGCCCAGACACTGCCCTTAAATAAGTGTGCTTTTGATATTATTTAATTTATAGAAAAATTCTATACTAATCTTATCCCTCAAAATTCAGCCTTATAATATCATGCACCCACCTCTTCTACAATAGTCCCTGGGCCTAGAGGGTTATAGTAGTTTTAACTTCTGGCCCTCTGTCTCACAAAAACAGTTCATTTTCATTGTCACCTTCTCCCAGGTCTGAAAACAAGGCTTCAAATGGTGTTTATGCTCAAGATTTAGCAGAGGTCAGTGCCTTTTTCAGACTCAGGAGTCAAAGGCCTATAACAACAGCACAAGGGTTAATTAATAGAATATTTATACCACAGAAAGTCCTATCATTCTAACATATCATAAATTAAAACACTGTGACTTGGTATCTAGGAGTCACCACCTGCAGTACTGCAAACCACTGGATTAAAGTAGTTAGGTTTACACCTTGCGTGTGTCTAATTGCTAGCATTCTAATGACAGAGCTATGACTAAAAGCATTTTTTAAATGTGATAGGTCTTATGCCAAACTTATTAAAGCAATACAATTAACTTTACTCTCCATCATTAAAGAAATGGTAAAGGCAAATATCAGTTTTGGAAATTCAGTATGAGAATAAATATCTCCTTTCACTTAATACCATACAACAAAACAAGGACAAAGTAAAAAGAAGCACACAGTAATTTCTATTCAGCTATTTAAAAGAGCATCATCACACATTTCCAAGATTAGTTTCTACATACAGTACTGACAGCTCATTAGGTAATATCCCTCACCAAAATCTTCAAACCAGTGAAACACTTGCACATATTTTGTTTTCAAGTACACACAGGAGAATCCATCATTGATAACTGGCTTTGGATCAAAGATCACTAGAAAGTCTCACTTTTTTTTATACTACTTAATCCAAGTAAATATCACTTAATTTTAAATAATTTAAGAAAAATTCCAATCAATATAATTTCCTTAAGGACAAGGTCAGTCTTTCCTTAGTATTAGAAGTTTATAGCCATATCATATATTTCCCTCATTACAGGAAAAGATTAAAACCAACTCAAATTGTTGCTTGAATTGAATTACCTTGGAAAACATTCTCACCTCCTTTTTCCAGTAAAATAAATAGTATACTATTTCTACTTAGAAGTTGTAAGAATAAAAGCCAGGCATGGTGGCTCATGCCTATAATCCCAGCACTTTGGAGGCCAAGGCAGGTAAATTACGAGGTCAAGAGATTAAGACCATCCTGGCCAACATGGTGAAACCCCGTCTCTACTAAAAATACAAAAATAATCTGGGCATGGTGGCACATGCCTGTAGTCTCAGTCAGGAGGCTAAGGCAGGAGAATTGCTTGAGCCAGGGAGTCGGAGGTTGCAGTGAGCCAAGATCATGTCACCAAACTCCAACCTGGTGACAGAGCAAGACTCCATCTCAAAAAAATAAAGAATAAGTCTTTTTTTTTTTTTTTTTTTTTTTTTGGCCAGGATCCTTAAAGCTCTCGTAGCTCTCAAGATCATCAGGGGTAAGCAAAACCAATCAAATTTTAAATGGCTGGTGTTTATCGATTTTTGGAGGCTTGACAAAAGAAGCCTAGGAATTCTAGATAAATAGAACAAATGATGACTCCTTAGAAATGCATAGGAAACAAGATGACTATTCATAGAACCAAATAAAAGCCTTCAATTACAAACTAAAAAACATCAGAGTTTTATAGAGATGTACACATAAGTAAGACCCAAAACAGAACAAACAGCAAATAAATGAAAATTAAAAGCAAAAATAAACAGGGAACCAACCCCAAATTTTTCTCCTACTCAGTTTACTTTGGAGGCTAAATTGTTACCTAGAGGTCAATAAAACAGACACACAACAGATATTTTGTTCCTGGTGCACAAATTAATGTCTTTATGTCCACCAATACCACTACACATTTTGTGAAATTAAGAAATCCACTTAGGTACATGGCCTGTAAGTAATTTAGTACAGTACTATCTATGCAAAATAGCAAATATACTGTGAAGCAATGCAAGCATGTATGTGAAATTTGGCTCCATGCTAAATCTGGCTTCATGGTTAACTGTATTAAAAAAGAATTGCCAAGCTGCCAAAATGTTTATTTATAATATTTATTTTATTTTTATCAAAACCATGAGCTTTAACTATGAGCAATGTTAATCAAATTTTTCCAATTTTCTATCAGTTTTTAAGGAATATTTTACACTTTCTATTTTCTCTGTATGTGCATGAAGATAGAAACACAAAGCACCAGTAAAAAGCCACATATGACCTACACAGACCAGCTATGACATGCTTGGATTTTCGATTTTGTCCTGAATTTTCTTTTCTTTTTTAAATAACCAGTCATTTTATTTTAGTACAGAAATTCACCATACAAGATTCTTTCTCATACAATATTTTTCTCTTTTCTTTATAACCTTCCTTACCAAAAATACAATGACACGTTCAGAACTTTCCTCACATCTCTCTCCCCCACTTACTGGTTCCTTTCTACCTTGTTTCATAAATAACATTTTCAAGTCCATAGTTTGAATTAACTTTTTTTTTTGAGACGGAGTTTCGCTCTTGTTACCCAGGCTGGAGTGCAATGGCGCGATCTCGGCTCACCGCAACCTCCGCCTCCTGGGTTCAGGCAGTTCTCCTGCCTCAGCCTCCCCAGTAGCTGGGATTACAGGCACGCGCCACCATGCCCAGCTAATTTTTTGTATTTTTAGTAGAGGCGGGTTTTCACCTTGTTGACCAGGATGGTCTCGATATCTTGACCTCGTGATCCACCCGCCTCGGCCTCCCAAAGTGCTGGGATTACAGGCGTGAGCCACCGCGCGCGGCTGAATTAACTTTTAAATCACTTCTGAATTAGGCAAAATTATTCTTTTTCTTACTAAGGACTCATCGTTTTAAGTACATTTTATATACAGAATTAATATAATTCTTATACTTAGTAACTCTAAATTTTAGTGAAATACTAGGAAGCAAGAAACCCTGAACTGCCTACCAGATATTAGTATTTTATAGGTGAGAACAATTCTATAATTTTTAGAAATATATTTCCCCATATTGTAACCCTTCCTTAATTGGAAATGACTCAGGCATCCAATAAACATCGAAAATAACTTCTAAGATTTTAAGTTACACAAAAAGTTCACCTATAGCATTTAGTTATTCACATTTTTTATTTATTTTTAGCAGTTTATCTAGATTATTTATGCATTATTTATTTCCTTGTTAACCATTTTATAACCTGTGAATATCAGGTTCACCTAAATAGGAACCTTAAAGTTAACTACAAGGGCATTTTCACCAATAACTCAGAAGATTCAGCTGTTTACATTAAACCAAAAATATTAAATTAGTCTTACTTATTAAAAAAATTCCCACAAAGATCATTTTGTTTTGCCTAGGTTTATAGCTTTATAACCTGTGCCAAACCCTGATACCTCAAAATATCTGGCAGAGACAAACGTAAAGCCCAAACAAAAATATATGCTGACAATCCTATCTTTTATTTTATGAATAATTTTAAAGACAGCTTGTTTATTAAATGTTTATTTAAGTCTTGTGAACTTGAAAAATACTTTAGACTTAATTTATGATCTTTTGTTTACAAGCCAATTTGGTAGACAAAAAGACATAACATAATAAATGTATATACATAAACACATCTAGACACGTACATGCACTCATACAAAGTCACTGGTTTACATGGTCACACTTTATTTGCCCCTATAGGTAATCCAACATAAGAGTGTGAACCAAAATTTTGGGTAAAGCAGTTTCCATGACAGTTTGATTTTTAAAAGCCAAGCCTCCCCAAACTCCAAGGAACACTGGGGCCGAATGGCACCACAGAAAACCACCTGGAACCTATTAACCAGGCCCAACCAGCTTAGACCAGCAGCATAAAAGCCTCGATACAGGAAACTCCATCTCACTTTCTCATTCAACAGCAAACTCCAGATTCCAAACAATACTGGGGCCAAGCAGTATTACAAAAGAATATCCGTTTATGGAATTCCAATTTCCCATAATAATCACCAAAACACAATCCAACTGCTGTAGCAATTAACAAGCCCAAGAGTGTTCAAACTGAAACAGCCAGGGTGCTTCCACTCTTCACTGATTGGTCTTAATCAACCTGCAAACAAACTCCTTAGGAATTTCCCGAATTGAGAGGGGCGCAGCCTGCTGTCTGGTACCCACAAAAAATACTCACTTGCCCGGACACACAAACAGTTTCAAGCAAGCCCCCAACAGTGTCCACAGTGAAACAGGGTGCTTCCCTCTCTCAGTTGGGTTTGTTCAACCTGCAAATGGAAATTCTTTTAAAAATATCCCAAATTGAGAGAGGCATCTCCTGCTGTCTGGGCCCACAAAGGACACTCAACTATCCAGATGTAGATGTCAAATTTCAAAAACTGTTCTTCAGAGGCAACCAGGAATACAGTTAAGGCCAGCTGCGGTGCGGCAAGAGACAGACTGAAACTTACCTCCAGCCAAAACTGAGCCGGTCAGCTGCTTAGGAGGGCTTTTGAGACTCCTGGCCCACAGCAGTTGAGCCATAAGCAATTGTGGCAACATTTTCCTGGTTAGGGAACCAAAATCTGTTACTGAAACACTAGGTCCTGTTGCTCATAGCACAGAAAACCAATGACTGAGACAATTATTGCCAAGGAAGAAGGCTTTAATCATGTGCTACAGCTGAGGAGACAGGAGCTTAGTCTCAAATCCATCTCCCTGACTGACTAAAAGGAGGTGTTCACATAGCAAGGAAGAAATGTAACAATGTGTAAAAAAACAGGAACTAGGGAGAGGCAAGGAAGCAATCATGATGAATGAGGGGCCTGGCAGCTCATTATACAGATGTGGTGATATGGTGAGTTTCTGGTGGTTGTTACTTTTCTTGAGAGGCCTCAAGGTCTTTCCTGAGGAAGAAATTCACGTAAAAGAAATATAAGTTTCAAACTTTAAAACCAGAAGCTTTTTTTTTTTTTTTTTAAATGGAGCCTCACTCTGTCTCCCAGGCT